CCTCAGTTAGAGACCCTGATTACACAATAGAGGAAGATATCCAATCCTGCTCTGGCCTTTGCATATGTGCCTGTGTGCATTCACCTGCATGTACACACACACACACACACACACACACACACACACACACAAATAGTCTAAGAAACTATACTAAAACTATACATATTTCCTTAGATGATTCAGCATAATTATTTATATGACATTGCAATAGGTATTAAAGTATAAGGGAGAATATGCATAGGTTCTGTGAAAACACTCTTGACATTTAAAAAAATTAAATTACATTTACTTGTCTGTGGGTTGGGGGACATGTGTTGTGATACACACGTCACAGGGAAATTTCTAGGAGTCCGTTCTCTCCTTCTACCATGTGGGTCCCAGGGTTTGAACTCAGGTCATCAGGGTTGGCAGCAGGTGACTTCACCCACTGAGTCCTCTTGCCAGCCCATCTGACTTTTTTTTTTTTTACAAAGGACTTGAACATCTAGGGAGCTTAGTGTCTGAGGTGGTTCTGAATCCAAGTCCCTGTATATACTGTATTAGACAAGTAGTTGACTATATAATGAAGGGTTTTAATAACAAAGTATACTAAATTTTAAGATTACATCACCTTTTCAAGATAAAAAGAGAGCTGAAAGCATTTCTCCTTACAAAGAAGCAATTGCTTATTGCTCCCAATGAAAAAAAAACATTCTACTTTAAAATGGCATACATACCTTGCAACCTTAACCATTTTGGGGTTGTACCGCTTGACCAGGGAAAGCAGAGTTTGCATTGTTTTACCAGTGTCAATTATGTCCTTTTAAAAAGAAAAGAGGTATTTAATGGTAAGTGGTAAGTAAAACCAGCATAATTTTAAAATCAGAGTCACTATCTAAACACAGAATATACAGAATCCCAGTGTTCTGGTATTCCACAGTACGATGTCATTATTTTTCAGCACATAAAAAAATTCTCACAATTCACACACAGAGATTCTAGAACTTGCAACCCATCTGGCTTTCAGCAAGTAGTGGGAATGTCAGTTCCCAGAACTAGGCTGCATAGGTATAGTGAGGTCAAAAACAATGAATTGAAATGGGTACATGTAAGCAATGTACATACATGTAAATCTTCTTGTTGTTTTTCCACACCGGGTCTAGCTAAATAGCTCAGGCTAGTGTCCTTAAACTCAAGAGCCTCCTATTTAGACTCCTGACAGCTAGGATGGCAGACATAAGCCACTATGCTTAATTCTGTAAAAGTATTTTAGATTTTTCTCCATAACTTCAAGATAGGGACTCTTTCATCTCAAACTCTAATACTGTGAGAAATGGTGCTTTGTATTATTTTTGAAGGCATTCAAATGGCTAAGTTTCACTATATAAAATGACTTTATCAGGGGTAAAAGACCTGCATAAGATCCACTGAGCCGCAGATCTCCAGTATTACCAAAACTGGTATCAGAAAACAAATAAAAAGTCGGGCGTTGGTAGTGCACACCTTTAATCCCAGCACTCGGGAAGCAGAGGCAGGTGGATCTCTGTGAGTTCGAGGCCAGCCTGGTATACAGAGTGAGTTCCAGGACAGGTTCCAAAATAATACAGAGAAATCCTGTCTCAAAAACAAAAACAAACAAAAAACAAACAACAAGAAAGAAAAGAAAAAGAAAACAAATAAAAATCCGTAAGTCAAAGCCAGGCGTTGGTGGTGCATGCCTTTAGTCCCAGCACTCGGGAGGCAGAGGCAGGCGGGTCTCTATGAGTGCGAGGCCAGCCTGGTCTCCAGAGAGTGCCAGGATAGGCTCCAAAAGCTACACAGAGAAACCCTTTCTCAAAAAACCAAAAGAAAAAAAAATACGTAAGACAATGTGGACATTAGAAATTCAGGGCTAGAGACTTGTGAAAAACCAAGATTCTAGGGTGTGGCAGGCAGAATACTGATGGCACAAAAATTACCGCCCCCTAGAGTACAGAGTGGAAGAAGTGAGCAGGCATGCTATGAGAGGCTGTGTAGGACATGAGGGATGATCTCTGTAAATGAGAGCAATCCCTGGCCAACAGCCAGAGAGAAAACTATGCCTCATTTGGATAATTACTGTAACTATACAGTGCTATCATCCTGAGTGAATGTTTATTTATTTGTGGGGTGTGTGGTTCAAAGCCAGCCTCGATTACATAGCTAATCAGCCAGGGCCACATGGTGAGACCCTATCTTAAAATAATTGAAAAAAGCCAGACACAAAGTACAATTAATTACTATGTAATTCCATTTGTGCTATGTCCTCAATAGGCAAATCTTAGAAAGTAGAGAAGGGGAAGGAAGAAATAAAAAATGAAGGCTAGCCGGGTGGTGGCAGTGTACACCTTTAAACCCAGCACTCGAGAGGCAGAGGCAGTCAAATCTCTGAGTTTGAGACCAGCCTGGTCTACAAGAGCTAGTTCTAGGACAGCCTCCAAAGCCACAGAGAAACCCTGTCTCGAAAAACCAAAAAATAAACAAACAAATAAATAAATAAATAAATAAATAAAGGCTAAGGGGACTGATTTCTGCGTAGCGAGATGAAGATGTTTTTATAATATTACTGAAAAAAGTAAGGTGGTTGGAGAGATGGCTCAGAGGTTAAGAGCACTGGCTACTCTTCCTGAGATCCTGAGTTCATACCCAGTAACCACATGATGGCTCACCACCATCTATAATGAGATCTGGTGCCCTCTTGTGGCCGGCAGGGAGACATGTAGGCAGAACATTGTACATTATAAATAAATAAATCTCTTAAAAATAACAATTAAGGGCAACCAAGATGGATTGGTGAATAAAGCCATTCTCCATATAAGCCCAGTGACCTAAATTCAATCCCCAAATTCCATGCAAAAGGTAGAAGGGGTTGCTTATGGACCCCAGACTGATAGCTGGGAAACCAGCATAGGATTGACATGTAAAGAAACTTGTTTCTAATTTAAACTTTTTAAAAAAGGTAGAAGAAGCAATTTCAAAGTTGTCTTCTGGCCTCCATGTGCATACTGTGGCATGTTTACACATGCAAACAAATACAAACTATTTTTTTTTTCAAGATAGAGTTTCTCTGTGTGGGTTTTTCTGTCCTGGAACTCTGTCTGTAGTCACAGATATCTGCCTGCCTCTGCCTCTGTGTCTGCCTCCCTAGTGCTGGGATTAAAGGTGTGTACCACCATCACCTGGCAACAAACTTTTTTAATTAAAGAAAAAGAGCCACAAAGTCGTAGATAACTTCAAGGAAACAGTGTTTTCTGACACAGTACTGCAGTTGCACTTATGAGTTCATATCAGTTGAGAAAGCATTACAAAACCTGTTTAGGGCCAGGCCAGACAAAATTCCAGCATGGAGGGGGAAGAGGGCATCATGTCCTACCTCTAGTGAAGGATCAATTTCTTTTGGCTTTTTGGGACAGGGTTTCTCTGTGGCTTTGGAGGCTGTCCTGGAACTCGCTCTGTAGACCAGGCTGACCTCAAACTCACAGAAATCTACCTGCCCCTGCCTCCCGAGTGCTGGGTTTAAAGGCGTGTGCCACTACCACCACCTTTAATTGCAAATAGCAATTGGTAGGTGTTGCAAAGAGGAGTCAGTTTTCTTTAACAATGTGGCTCCTAGTGGGGTGACCACTCTCTAGTGAAGGCCACACATCCAGGAATAATGTACAGCACTAACTGTATTGTTGGATTTAAAGAAAAGAAGAAGATACAATGTTGGGTAAATAGGGAAGTGGGAGCAGATTTGGGGGGAGTGGAGTGGAGGTGAACATAATCAAAATGCAATATACCAAATTCTCAAAGAACTAAAATGGGAAAAAGAAAAAATTAAAAAAATACTAATGGAACAATGGTGGTGCACACCTGTAATTCCATCATGTGAGAAGCTAAGGCAGAAGGGGTTCAAAGTCAGCATAAGCTACACAGTGGGTTCAAAGCCAGCTTGGAGGCCAGGTACGGTGATACCCAACTGTAATGGTAGCATTCTGAAGGCAGAGGAGGTCATCCTGGTCCACACTGTGAGACTCAGACCAAATGGGGCTACACACCTCGTCTCATAGAAGAAAAAAGCCATCTTGAGCTGCACAACAAGTTCCTTCTAGGGGGGCTGGAGAGATGGCTCAGAGGTTAAGAGCACTGGCTACTCTTCTAGAGTTCCCGAATTCAGTTCCCAGCAACCACATGATGGCTCACAACCATCTGCAATGGGATCTGATTCCCTCTTCTGAGGTGCAAGTCAACATGCAGACAGAACACTGTATACATAATAAAAATAAAATAAATCTTTAAAAAAAAACAAAAACCAAGATAATGCTGAAGGAAGGGTGAGAGGAAAGGAGGCAAGAGAGAGAAAGAGGAGAGGGAGGAGAGCAGAGATGGAATGAGAAAGAGAAGGGCAGAAGGGAGGTAGATGATGGTACATGCCTGTAATGCCAGCACTTGACTTGGGAGGTAGAGGCAGGTGGATGGAGTTGAATATATCCTGCACTATTTAGCTTAGCTACCTTTTTCTCAAACAAACAACAAAACAAAGAACTGAGGGTGAAGCCTAGTGGTAGAACATTTATTTAGCATCTTCTGGGTTTGATTCCTAGAGCCCCACTTAAAAAATAAAATTTCTTTTGTTAAAAAAAAACAAAATAAGGACTGCAGAGGATGCTCAATGGGAACCAGGAGCACTGGAGTTTGGATCTCAGTACTCACATAAAAACTAGGCATCTGATGGGCAGTGGTGGGCACATGCCTTTACTCCCAGCACATGCAAGTGGATCTCTGTGAGTTTGAGACCAGCCTTGAGACCAGGTCTACAAGAGCTAGTTTCAAAGCCAGAGAGAAACCCTGTCTCGAAAAATCAAAAAAACAAACAAAAAACTAGGCATCTTGTTCCCACCTGCAGCCCATGTCTGAGAAGGCAAGAAGCAGGAAGACTGCTGGGGTTTGCTGGCTTCTAATAAAATGAGCCCCTGGTTCAGAGAGAGGACCCTGTCTCAAATGAATAGACAGCACAATAAAGGACACACATCCTCTTCTGGCCTCTGTAGTTATGCAAAGGCATACATACTTGCATACACATGCATATACACTCAGACATACAAAACACATGCACAAAAATATTACAAAAAAGCATAAAGGAAACAAAGAGATTATAAAATCGAGTAAGCAACTAGGGGCAGAAAAATGATAGAAAAACGATGTTCTGGAAAATGTGGAAAGTATAGAGAAAATGAAAAATAATGGAGAATGAGGTTCTTGAAGCCACACTAAAAATATATTAAAATGTTTACTGAAGAATTGAGCAGCGTCAAGGTAGGAGGATGATCACTGACAGGTGTATAGAGTTCAGTAAGGCAGACAGATATGAAATAGGGAGACCATAGACTATTAAAGAGGTATATGTATATGCTGTTAGACAGTGGCAAGTGAAAAAATACTGAAAGGGATAGGAAGTTGACATGGAAATACAAGATTTTTATGTAGCACAGTCAAAGAAGGCCTTAATGAGAAAGTTTCTAAGTAAATCATTGGTTCTTAAAGCTTAGCTCAAAGTTTGCTTAAGAAAAGCTCACTGGTTTTCATCATAAAGATTGTGAGTCAGTAGTTGCTTGGATGATGCTTTTGGTTTTTAGGGATCACATTGAAAAGCAACAGGCTACAGACAGTGATAGGTTGAATCTTTACTCTACTCACTCTCTGGTGACCTTGGGAATCTGTTTACCCTTCTTGTGCTTGTTTCTACATCATTTACAGTAGTAGCTGGCAAAGTAAGCACTGGATAAACTTTACTGGTATTACATACAAAGTACTCAAAGACATAATAGCAAATGGAAAATAACACATGAACTATAAATAGTTTTTCTAAGAATATTTGATACTCATATTAAGATGAAATAAGAACCTTATGATGTTCCATAAAATAAAACTTAGCACAGTAAATCACATACACACACATACCCCTCTATATAGTTATAGCTACTTTTAAAAGAAAAAACCAGCTGGGCATTGGTGGCATAGGCCTTTAATCCCAGCACTTGGGAGGCAGAGGCAGGCAGATCTCTGTTCTTGTAGACCAGCCTGGTCTACAAGAGCTAGTTCCAGGACAGTCTCCAAAGCCACAAAGAAACCCTGCCTCGAGCCCCCCATCCCCCCAAGAAAGAAAAGAAACCAATCAAAACAATAAGAGAAACTTTTTTCATGAGCTGGAAAATACATCACTTATCCTTTTCTGTTTGTGTTTTTTTTATTTTGTTTTATTTTAAAAACAAGAACTCTCTAGTTTCCGAACTCTATTATGTAACCCAGGCTAACCTAAATGGAATTCAAGAGCTTCCTGAGTGTTTGGGATTCCAGGCATGCCTTACTGTACATGGCTTCTCTTAGTCTTTAGAAAACACCCCCCCCCCAATTAAAACAGAAAGAATTTTTCCCTGGCTTACCTATAGTATACACTAAGCTAGAAAATTTAACAGTATTTTAGAAATAAATGCAGCACTTACCTCAACAATCAAGACATTCTAGAAGAAAAAAGAGAAATGAAAATCAGAAAATGAAGTGAGATATATTTCCAATTATCAGTAAAATCATATAACTCTGGGAAATTCTTGCTTGTATTTGATTATACTGTATCCTGCTTGAAACAAGTATACTATTAGAAAGAATATTTGACCCATATGTTCATTTTTTATAAGCTTTTAATCCTGAATGCAAGATCTTAAGCAACATGTGAAATTTCTCTGGATCTGTGTCCCATATGTAAACTGAGAAACCTGAACCAGCTGGCCTTTCATGTATCTTGACTCTAATATTCTAAGTGTAATCTGTACAAATGCCTCCAAAAATCATGTATTTAACATAACAGAGATGCAATTAAAATTTTATTTTCCCATCAACTAAAGCTAGTGTAATGGTTGTACACATATCTGGGGGACTACACTAAGGAAAAATACTAATCCTTCCTTTTACGACAAACCCTTAAACCCATTCCAATCTATTCTCTTTTTATTCTGTAGCCCAGGCTGGCCTAGAACTCATTATATAGCCAAAGCTGGCCTCAAACTAGCAGCAATATTCCTGTCTCAATCTACCAAATGCTAAGATTATAGTTCTGATTTACCATGCCGGAATCCTCACTCAACCTTCCTGTGTTTATGCTAGTTAAAGAAACAAAGCAGCGTTTTACATGTTCACAATACTCACTGCACAGAAGATTTATTCTATACTGTTTATATAGTTCTCAAAGCACTCTGCCAAACAACCAGAACATCAGAGTTATAACACCCTCTATATTATTCTAAGTTAGTAGTTATCAAGGTAGAGTACATATAGCATCCACTGGGTTTCATGAAATTCAACTTTTTCATCTTGTGGTGGTTTGAATGAGAATGTCCCTCCCCCAGAGGCTCTTACATTTGAATGTTTGGTCCCTAGCTGGTGGAACTGCTTTGGGAAGGATTAGTCAATGTGGCCTTGTTGGAGGAGGTTTGTCACTGGGAGTAGGCCCTGAGGTCTCAGAAGTCCACATCAGCCCCAGTCTCTAGTACTTTCTGCACCCAATTTGCAGATAAAACATATGTTCTCGGCCACTGCTCCAATGCCATGCTGCCAGTCTGCCTCCTGGTTCCCCTCCAGGATGGTCCTAGACTCACCCTCTGAAACTGTAAACAAGCTCTGAATTAAATGCTTTCTTTTTTATAAGTTGTCTGGGTCACGGTGTGTCTTCAAAGCAATAGAAAAATAACTGAAGACATATTTCCTCTAGTTTAACCTACAGTTTTAAGTACTTTACAACATAAATTACTAGCAAAATTCATACGTAACTTACAAATGCATATGCTATGGGTAAATCCTTAAAAAACTGTTTAGTGACTGGGCATGAAAATCAAAGATTGGAGAATCACAGCTTATGCATTAAAAGTAAACTGTAACCAAGAAAAACTAATAAGCCCATGTCTCAAAGCACTTTATTATATAGAAGGCAGCATCTGACAGTCCTGCATGGGTCTAAGAATAGAATATTCAAGCAAGGTTAGCCCAGAACTTCTGGAAAGCAACTCACAACTGCAGCCCATTCTATGGACAAGAAAAGGTCACTTTAAAGCTCAGGATAACATAGAACATAAAACAAATATAAAAAATTGGGGTAATCTAAAGGTACAGGTTACAGAGCAAATGAATAACATAACTGTGATATTATTATGAGGTCTATATAAATTCTAAGTAAACTGAAAATACATTCATATACTGAGAAAAAAAGCAATGGAGCTATTGAAATAAATCTTAACACAGTGTAAGAAACATTGGACTAAGGCATTTATTTATTCCAATTGTGGTTCTGTCACCTGATAATGACTAAATTTCAATACCTTTCTCTATAGAAAGAGGATGATGATTCCCTTACAGGGCAAGAATGAAGATTGCATGACACTACTATGCAAATCTTTGGCCAAACTGAATATATAGTTAACTCATGAGTCAGTAATTGTTTCCCTACCTACTTTGCAGTTTTCTCACCATTTTCTCACCACTACCTTGAACATTTCAAGGATAGCAAACAGTCCCATCAAAAAGCACTTTCACAGCGGCAGTGACTGCTGCTGTAGCATTACAGAATTATAGACTAGGAAACAACATGGGCTTCTAGGACACAGGCAGAACTACTGAATTCTAATGACCTTGCTTGAGTCATAAGTATATCTTTTAATTCTTTACATTTACTTTATGTTTCATTTGGGAGGTTGTAACACAGCTTGAATATGGAGGTCAGAGGTATTGAACTCAGGTCATCAGGCTTAGTGGCAAGTGTCTTCCTGCATCAAGACATCTTGCTGGACCACAACTATGTATTTTAGCATAAGACAGCTTATATAAATCAACAAAGTCCAGAAAGATTAAAATTTGTCCAATGAATACAAAACTGTACTAGGCTATTGCTCCATTACCAAAACTAAGAATTGCTACCACTGAGAGTTTTATTTCAAGTTGCTACATGTCTATTTAATAATGATAACAATAAGGCTAAGGAGTCAAATGACTTAAGTAATCAACAAAGACAAGTACAAGAGGAATAATTTGAATAAAAGTAGATTTTAGATACAAAGCCTACATTCTCAAGTATTAATGGGAAAATATTTGTGTATGTCTGTATGTGTACACACATAAGATAAATTTCCACAAAAGAAAAATGTTTCAATAAACCCATAATCTCACCACTAAGATTTAACTCCGCTTAATTTTTATTCCTTGATTTTATCCACAATAAACAGAATCTACTGCAACTGTCATAAAGTTACTTTAGAAGCAGAGATCTGTTTAAGATCGCAGAGCTGTGTAGTGGGACAGAAATATTAGGTGAAAAAGACAAGATCAAACTAAATCACAGAAGGCACTGAGGGCAAAGCCCCTTCTAGCACTAAAAACTGATTATACAAGTGCAGGTTTTGAATGGCTTCTAAAAATGGACAGGGCACAATGAAAGGGAAGGAGGTCTGGCAGTTGTATACCAAATGGACAGGAGAGAGAATGAACCAACAGATTACAAGTTGTGTGAAGTTTCCAAACACCGCTGATGACAACATTAGTTTGCCATGACCGCATACAGGACTATACAATTTCACAAGTGTTTTATGTTAAAGTTCCCCTACAGATTTTCAACGAAGTAAACTGTGAGCACTAAAATGTAAAAACTAGACCAAGAAAGAACTCTGATGTCAGGATTCAAGCTCTTCTACTTCCTGGCTGTGTGACTTTGAGATTGTGAGACAGTTGTCTCATAATCCCATGTATTTTTCCAAACTGTAACTATATTGCTTAATTTCCTGATCTGCAGAATGAGAATATAACTTCCCTTACCAGATTACTGTGAAATTTACCAAAGTAATACATTTATACAAGGCACAGTATCTGAAGTAAATAACTAGCAGCTTAGTATAACATATTCAGTCCAGTATAGTGGCTCATGCTTGCAATCCCAGCACTTGGGAGGCTGAGGCAGGAGGAGATGTTGGGATGATATGGGCTACAAAGTGAGATAGCTGAGGGAGTAAAGGTACTTGGTGCCAATTTTGATCATGTTAACATACTCCCAACTCTCAATTCTACATGCTGGAAAGAACTGGCTCCTGAACTCAACAAACTCATGCACGTCATTCCAAAGCCACAGAGAAACCCTGTCTCAAATACAAACAAACAAACAAAAACACCTTCATATAGACATTCAAGCAGGCAAAATACTAATGCACATAAAATTAAACAAAAACAAAACCAGAGCAATGTTCAGTTTAAGATTTTGAAAGCCGAGGCTGGAGAGATGGCTCAGAGGTTAAGAGCACCGACTGCTCTTCCAGAGGTCCTGATTCAATTCCCAGCAACCACATGGTGGCTCACAACCATCCGTTAAGAGATCTGGTGCCCTCTTCTGGTGTGCAGATATACATGGAAGCAGAATGTTGTATACATAATAAATAAATAAAATCTTTAAAAAAATAAAACTACATGTGAAACTCCCCCCCCAACTTTTTTTTTGAGACAGGGTTTCTCTGTGTAGCCCTGGCTGTCCTAGAACTTACTCTGTAGACCAGGCTGCTTCTGCCTGGGCAGAGTGCTGGGATTAAAGGCATGTGCCACCACCTCCCGGCATAAAACTTTTTAAAAGACTGCCTTTCTCCCCATTTGTACTTTCTGAAGGATACCAAATTAGATTTTCAAAGAGGTATTACAGAACGCAGTAATTAACAATGTGGATTTTTAGTGTTACTATTAGATTCTGCTGTCATTTGGCTATATAGTCCAGAAGATATATAAAACTATATAAGGGTACTTTGCAAGTATTAAACAATAATTGCTTACTTAAAGTATCTCCAAGTGAGTGATTGAAAGCACAGTTACTAATTGATTCTTGGTATAAAAATGATTCTTTGCTTTCCCTTTAAGGTACTTACCTTTCCAGTTAAAGTTGAGAGATCATCCCCACCAATAACTTTTATGTCCCCTGTTGACTGATCATTCTAGTTAAAAAAAAACATCATTTACATGCATATTCTTGAATACACACAAAAAATTATTAGATGTAAGAAGTTAGCTATCTAATGGCTACAACATTATGGTATTCTAAATCATGTATTATAAGTATTAGGTTTCTAGAAATTAATGACTAGGTAAATAGAGATTAGTAAAATTTAAAAATCATAACTGGCCATTGCTGGTTTTTAATGTTCTGAAGAGTCCTAAAAATAGAGTTCATCCATTTCTGAGTGAGCATAATATAGCTGCTCATCATCAATCAGGCAGTTCTCAACCACAAAGGACAATTTATTAGCATGGCAGGTGTCTGCTTCTGGCCCTGTAACATTCCTGTGAGTCACAAGTTGAAGGAGCTGGTATGTATCACATCCAACCCTGAGGATATGCCCCCTCAAAGTCCAGCCCATACCCAAGTCATCTTCAGAACTGAGAAACCAGGTCTGAGTACCAGTCTGTTAGAACACACTTCTTAGGTTTTCACTCTGCTCTCATAGAAATTAGCAGAAACCCTTATAGGGGTTTCAAAAGAGAGCACTTAACACTCACTGTAGTTGGTGGGAATAACTGTTATTTGGATGTGCTGAAATGAAGACAGAAAACTGAATTGAAAGCAGATAAATAAAAAGCCTGGACTTTCTCTACTAGGAAAATGACAAGTACCATAAAGCTACAGTAATTCCCTTGTGTCAATCAGTACAGTGATTGACAAAAAGTTAAAGGAACAAAGTAAAATCCAGAAACAGACCCAAAAACATATGGCAATTTAGTATATGACAAAGATGGCATCTTGAGTCAGTAATTAAAAGATGAATTATTCAACAAATGGCATCTGGTCAATTACTTATCCATTTGAGAAAAAATATAAAGCATGGTCCCTACCTCACACCATGCACAAAAATAAATTCCAGATGGATTAAAATCTAAATACAAAAAATAAAACTATAAGTGAATTGGAAGTAAATGTAGTAAGATACTTTTTGTTTTTGTTTTTGTTTTTTTTTTTTTTGCATTACTAGAAAGGGCAAAAAACAGGTCATGAACCCCAACTGAAAATATCTATAACCAATATTCTTAATGCATGTTATACTTCAAAATAAGAACCCACTAGATGGGACTGGAGAGATAGTTCATCAGTTAAGAACACATGCTGATCTTGCAATGGACCTGGGTTCAGTTCCCAGCATCCACATGGCAGCTTATAATTGCTTGTAACTCCAGTTTCAAGTGTTCTAATCCCCCTTCTAGCCTCAAAAGCATCGAGCATGCACATGGTATGCATACTGGCATTCACACATGTACATAAAGTAAGATAAATATATCTTTTTAAAATAGAACTACTAAAGCCTAATGGTGGCAGCTCAGCTTTTAATCCCAGCACTCGAAAGGCAGAGGCAGGTGGATCTATGTGAGTTCAGGCCAGTCTGGTCTACAGAGAGCAAGTTCTAGGACAGCCAGAGCTCTTTTACACAGAGAGATGCTGTCTTGAAAAACAAAACAAAAAAAGGCACTACTAAAAAAATGTGATTCCAGTGTTCACCCATCCACATTTCAGAACTAAATCCTAGTAATACATTGAAGGGAAACAAATACTCAAGTTGTTGGTTGGAGTACAGAAACCAATATGACCTCTTTTGAAAAGAATACAGCAATGTGTACTAAAACTGGAAACATGCACACCATTTTGGTCTAACAACCCCATTTCCAAGAATCAATGTCACAAAAACATTCAGAAACATGCAAAAAACATAAAGTACCCACTGTATTTTTTTTTTTTTTTTTTTGGTTTTTCGAGACACGGTTTCTATGTGTAGCTTTGGAGCCTATCCTGGCACTCATTCTGGAGACCAGGCTGGCCTCTGCCTCCCTAGTGCTGGGATTAAAGGCGTGCACCACCAACGCCCAGCCCACTGTATTCTTTTTTCATCAAAAAGAGGCAACATGTGGTAACAGGGGATTAACTAAATAAATCAAGTTAATGTACACAACAATAATACTATGGAACTATTAAAAAGAATCACAAAAAATTAATGTATACTTATATGGATCAATATTAACTAATAATACCAAGTAGCAGACAAATATGCTACCTATAAAACTATTTTTGTTCTGTATTTAAAAGTATGTTAGGCTAGATGGTGGTGGTACAAGCCATTAATCCCAGCACTAGGGAGGCAGAAAAAGGTGGATCCAGGATGGCAAGGGCTGTCACTCAGAGAAACCCTGTCTTGAAAAACAAAACACAACAAAAGTATGTTGGGCCAGGTGGTGGTGGTGGTAGTGCACATCTTTAGTCTCAACACTCTTGGGAGGCAGAGGACAGCAGACCTCTGTGAGTTTAAGCCTAGCATGGCATACAGAGCGTGTTCCAGGATGGAGGCTAAGGCAGGGTTGAGAGTTTGAGATCACTCTGGGCTACCTAACAAGATCCTATCTCAAAATATCATTAAAAAAGATAGCTGGGTGGTGGTGGCTCATGCCTTTAATCCCAGCCCTGGGGAATCAGAGGCAGGTGGATCTCTGTGAGTTCTAGGCCAACCTGGTCTATAGCACCAGTTCCAGGACAGCCAAGATTACACACAGAAACTCTTACTTCAACAAAACAAAACAAATGATAATTCAATTGGTAGAATGTTTGTCTGGTATGTGTAAGGGGAAGTGGGAAGAAAGAAACAAAACAAAATAAATAAAAGCATACTACTAGTACATACTGTAAACTAAATGTTTGGCTTTTTAATGTAATTTTGCATATTATTACTCTAATCTAAAACCCAGAATCTCAAACACACAGAACTAATTAATGACAAAAAGAAAAATAATTGTAGAAAACCTGAAACTAGTTTATAGGTTTTCAGCTGTAGTTTACAGCTAAAGTGCTACATAGTAATAACAAACCTAGGTAAATACTGACATCTTGTGTAGAAACATGGTATTACAGTCCAACACCAATTAATTCCCTTTTCAAGGAAAGGACAAAAGGAGTAAATACCTAAGAATGAAGCTGTGATCCAAAGGCTATGGCTATAGGGTCCGAGGCAACAGAACTCCAAAGCACACAGAACATTGGCACTCTTAAGACTGTTCAAGGCCGGGCTGTGGTGGCGCACGCCTTTAATGCCAGCACTCGGGAGGCAGAGGCAGGTGGATCTCTGTGAGTTCAAGACCAGCCTGTTCTACAAGAGCTAGTTCCAGGACAGCCTCCAAAGCTACAGAGAAACCCTGTCTCGAAAAACCAAAAAAAGGCTGTTCAAATTTCCACAGTCCCACTGACCTCACTGTTTCAGCTTATGTTTTATTGAAACTTTTTCCAAGGAAAACAGCCTCCTTTTGAATGGGGCTAATAAAATGTTCATTTAATAGTTGTTATATATAAATGCCTATATTGTTTACAAATGCTATCCATGAATCAATTACCTAGCTTGAGTGGGCAGAAAAACCACAGCAACCTCCCTGTATCTGGAACTGACTGTATCCTTAAGTTAGTGCCTCTCTCAGAGAGGCCTCACCTTTAACTATTAGAATAAACTCTATGGAGACATGACTGGAACGAATGAAAGGACAGTTCTCTCCAGATTGGCTCCATCTCTTCTTTCCCTTTTCATCATTTCATTAAGCAGAGTGCCCAAGGGTTCCTTCATTTAGGTGTCACTGTCAGTAACCAAAAATTCCCAGAGGTGGTTCAGAGCATTGGCTTCCAAACCACCCAGGTTCAATTCCAAGCACACCCATGGCAGGTCTCAATTGTATGCAATTCCAATTCTAGAAAGTCAGACACTCTTCTGACCTCTGTAGACTTCAGGCAGGCAAAACACTCATACACATAAAAATCTCTTAATTCCCAGAGAATCTCAAGGGTCTAAAATACAGCCTTTAACATTTATTTCTACGTTGTCTACCTGTTTATTCCTAATTTTCCATCCCTAAGATCTTTGAAAATCCCTAAGTAGCAACGTAATTGCTTAGCATACTTGAAGTCTTGGATTCATTCAACACTGAAAATAAATTAATTACAAATCTAAAAATGTAACTTAAAATAATGGTTTGCTAACACCCCTTCTCCCAAAACCTCATTATTTTCATCAACTATTAGTGCAATTTTATAAAATTGAAATAAAACTCAAAATAGAAGAAACACATTTGTATACTTGTAAAAATGTTTCATTTTCCTGAAGGTTATAGAGCATAGGGGACCAAAAAATGTCACCAAATATAACACTATATTTCACTGTTTTAAGATATATATTCATACTTTACTGCCTCTGAAAACATAATTCATGGTACCATGCTACTATAACTGGAGGTATTTTCTTTCTTAGAAGCACAAAAAATACAGAGGTTTTAATTAGCAGACTCTTTCATTTAATGAAATACATATTTGGTAACCCCCAGGTTCTTTTCCACCTAGTTAAATGACATCTGGGATAACACTGATTATATAAACTATAGTAGCATTGTGTACATGTATACAGACAGAAAACACTTTAAAATACTCAAAAAGTGGTGACAAGAGCTGGAGAGATGGTTCAATAGTTAAATGTATGTGCTATTCTTGCAGAGTACCCAAGTTCAGTTCCTAGCACCTACATGTTGACTCACAAACATCTGAAACTCCAGTCCCAGGGGATCTGATGTCTTCTGCTGGCACCTGTAGACATGAGGCACTCATATGGTAAACACACATGCATGTAGGCAAAACACTCATAAATATAAAATAAAAATAAAACTTAAAAAAATAGAATATGGGTGACTTAGCCAGGCGTTGGTGGCACACGCCTTTAATCCCAGTACTCAGCAGGCAGATATCTGTGAGTTTGAGGCCAGTCTGGTCTCCAGATCGAGTGCCAGGATAGGCTCCAAAGCTACATAGAGAAATCCTGTCTTAAAAAACCAAAAAGAGAGCCAGGCGTTGGTGGCCCACGCCTTTAATCCCAGCACTCGGGAGGCAGAGGCAGGCTGTGAGTTCGAGACCAGCCTGGTCTACAAGAGCTAGTTCCAGGACAGCCTCCAAAGCCAGAGAAACCCTGTCTGGAAAAACCAAAAACAAAAAAAAAAACAAAAAACAAAAAGAATATGGGTGACTTAAGTTTCTCTATAATATCCTGCAGTTTTATTTTAAAAATAAATATCTATTTTAGCCAGGCAGTGGTGGCACATGCCTCTAATCCCAGCACTCAGGAGGTAGAGGCAGTTGGGTCTCTGAGTTCAAGACCAGCCTGGTCTATACAGTGAGTTCCAAGACAGTAAGAGCTACATAGAGTCTCAAAAAAAAAAAGAGAGAGAATGAAAATAAAAAAAATAAGCCACACAATCAAAATTGTGAATGATGGAATTTACATGTAAAGATTACATTCATTTTGTTTCATCATATTGTCAATATTCTACATCACTTCAGACTCTGACAAAGGTAACGTGGCCAAAGGTCAAAAGTGGTTTCTGTTTTCTGAGAAATAATTGTTAACCTTAATAATGAGACTTTGCTTCAAATAATTTAGGATTACTCTCAAAGCAACTTAGTTCCAGAGAAATTATTTGCCACCAGCATATACAGTCAGGAAAACACCAAGTCTCAACAGAAATTGTTTATTTTTAAAATATGTGTATGGGTGTTCAAGTTGCATATTTGTTTGTGTACCATGTTAGTGTCTGGTGCCCTTGGAGGCCAGAAGATGGCATCAGATCCCTGGGACTGGAGTTAAAGACAACTGTGAACTACCACGTGGGTGCTAGGAATTGAACCAGGTCCTCTGAAAGAGCAGCCAGTGCCTTTGACTACTGAGTCCACCTCACCAGTCCCATAATTCTTGTAAAACTTACTTATTTTTATTTTATCTGGAGGCTAGGACATCAGGTCCCCTGGAACTGGAGCTACATAGCTGTGAGCCATCTTTTGGGTGCCAGTAACTAAACCCCAGTCTTCTCTACAAGTGCTTGTGACTGATGAACCATCTCTCTCTGTCACTGTACTCTGCAGTAATTCTTAAAAGTTGTTTTGGAAAATATCAAAACACAGTCAGGTATGGTGATACACGCTTGTACTCCCAGAATTTGGGAGGCTAAGACAGAAGGATTATTTGAACCACAGAGTTTGATACTAGCCTGAGCAGTATCATAAAACAAGTCAAAATCCAGGTCAAAATAAGACAAAAGAAAAACCATGCAAAGTAAGTACAAATCCATCTTGGGTGACTAACAAACAATATTCACTTTGATGTTGGTCTTGAACTACAGTGTTGTGATGTAAAGTACCAGTGAATAATAACAGCAACAATTATGGCCAGAAGTGGTAGCACCTGCCTGTAATCCCAGCTACTTGAGAAACTGAGTCAAGATGACTAAAATTTCTAGATCAGCCTATGTAATGAGTTCAAGGATAGTCTGAGCAAGTTAGAGAGGGTCTCAAACTAAAATTCTAAAAAAAACTGGGATAAGCCTCAGTTGATGAGGCTCAGGTGGTGGTGCACTCGTTTAATCTCAGCACTCAGGAGTCAGAGGCAGGTAGATCTCTGTAGGTCAGTCTGGTCTACAGCAGAGAGTTCCAAGACAGGCTCCAAAGCTACCCAGAAAAACACTGTTTCAAAGTAAAAACAAACAAACAAAAATACATACAAAACTAGGATTGCCATATTTTTTAAATTATGAATGAATTATACTTACACAGTAGCTCTTCAGTCTGATAAAATCTACAGTCATGGGAATGGATCTATCACTATTTCTATTCAGTGCTTTAATGTAATCCAGCAGGTCAGCAAAGAATTTATAGCCCCCCTTCAGCACACAGAGGGCCACAATGTGATGGCCTCCCATCTCTTTCATGACATCTCGGGCAAGTCTTTCAGTCCTACAAAAATAAAATCAGGAATAGAAGATTCCAAATAGTTATATTTTTATAACAAACACTTCTTAAACTTCCACAGGACACATTCTTTGTCCCCATAATTGGTAATCTTGCTTCATAAATCAAACTATTAAATAAAGTGGGGGATGTTTTCCATATGGCAAAGGGAAGATTTTGGGGGTTGGGGAAGGTGACACAGGATCCCTCTATGTAGCCCAGGCTGCATAGTAACTCATAACCCATGTCTCGAACTCTGTGTGCTGAGATTATACTTACACACCAACACACAGCTCAACCAAAATTAAAACTTACTAACTTTAAAAACCAGGTACATGCTAGGCATCATGGTACATGCCTATAATTCCAGCTACCTTTAAAAACCAGGTACATGCTAGGCACCATGGTACATGCCTATAATTCTAGCACTCTGGAGGCTGAGGCAGGAGGAAGGGTATGGGTTGAGGGACATACTGTACAACAGCAGAGTAAGTACTAGGTCACTTAGGGCTACATAATAAGATTCTGTCTCAAATAAAAGAACAGGTATACTATAACATCATGAAATTTAAAAATACAAATAAAAAGATACAATGTTCAAAGCTAACAAGACTGGTGAATTTTGGTTAAATTGCATTTCTCTAATGTAAAATATTAGAAGAGATTGTGAGGAAAAATGAACTCACATACCACTGGTAGTATAAAATTATGAAATTTTTTAGAGGTTAATTTGGCAGTATGATAATATTCAATAAACATCTTTTACTTGACCCAGAATTTCTACTTGCCTAAAGCTGAGCAAGTGCCAATATATATCATATTTCCTCTAATAAACTCCTGCTAAGTGCAAAATAATGGAGATCTTAAGTGTCTACCAACAGTACAGAGTTAAATCAGTTATGGTATATCCATGAACAGAATAGCATTATCACCTTTAAAGTAAACCTGGGGGAGCTGGGAATGTAGCTTAATTGGTAGAGTCTATGCCTAGTATGCACAGGAACAAGGTCCTAGGTTTTATCCTCATAACTGTGCAAACTGGGCATAATGGCACACCAGTAGAAGCAATAGCATCAGAACTTCAGGTCATCCTCAGCTACACTGTGAGTTGGAAGCCAGTCTAAACTATTTGAGACCCTTTTTCAAAATCAATATAAAAACAGGACTGGGCATGGTGGCTCATACCTGTAATCTCCAGATGGGGGAGGAATACTGAGTTAAGGTCAGTCTGGGCTATACAGAAAGTTCCAAGCCAGACTGAACTAAACAGTAAGAACCTATCTCAAAGAGAAAACAGTTTACACACATACACATATCTCTCCACACACACACACACACACACACACACACACACACACACACACACACACAATTATAAAAATTTTTAAAGATAAAAACATGTGATAGCTATAGATGTACTAATATTAAAAAGTCCAAAAATTTAGTATTATATGATAGTACATAACTCGTATGTGTATATATACTTTACATACAGTGATACAGTAAAGAAATGTGTATAACAGGGGAGGAGGGCCTAGGCCCTGCCCCAAGTGACAGATTTTTTGATGATCCCTCATGGAAGGCCTCGCCCTCCTTGGGGAGTGGATGGGAGAATTGGTGGGGGGCTTGGGAGGATGGGAGTGAGAGTGAACTGGGATTGATATGTAAAATAAGATTGTTTCTAATTTAAATAAAATTTATAAAAAAATTTTAAAAGAAATGTGTATAGCAAACCAACAGAATCATAATCTCATTTACAGACTTCCAACCTCGTTTCAACATTTGCTGGACTCATTATGGAGTACCACTATTTATATCTCAAACTGAATAACTAGTAGGACTTCCTGGTGTTTTTCTTTTTGTGAAAAAGAACTTTAAAACTAGAAAATATTGGGGCTGGAGAGAGTTAAGCCCATTTGCTGTTTGGGCAGAGGCCCTAAGTCCAGTTCCCAGCCACACAGCAGCTCCCAATGGCCTGCAACTCCAGTTCCAGAGGACCCATCACACTTTTGTGGTCTCCTGGAATGCAGATGCTGCACATACATGCAGGCCATTGGGAGCACTTGTGCAAGCATCAGGACCTAAATTCAGATCCTTAATACCCATATAAAAACCAGGTGTGGCCGCATCTGCTTGAAACTTCAGCAATAGGGGACAGAGCCTAACCGAATCAGCATGTCCCCAGGTTCAGTGAGAGACACCAACTCAAGGGAGCAAGACAGAGAGCAACAGAGTATGGCACCCAATGTCCTTCTCTAGCTTTTACATAAATATATACATTATACATATGTATCAAATACATGCCTATCACAAACATACACACAGACACATCTAAAATAAACCCATAAAACTTCAATTAAGATCTGTTCTGTCTGCATGTGTCCCTGCAGGCCAGAAGAGGGCACCAGATCTCATTAGGGATGGTTGTGAGCCATCATGTGGTTGCTGGGAATTGAACTCAGAACCTCTGGAAGAGCAGTCAGTGCTCTTAACCGCTGAGCCATCTCTCCAGCCCCTTCAATTAAGATCTTACTTACCTGTCCATAATCACTCCATGAGGAATAAACACCTTTTCCAAATCCTCGACATAGTGATTAGGAATACAAAATAAATCTAGGTCATAGCCTGGTTCATCATCACTAATCTGAAAAAGAAAGACAGCTGTTTCAAATCAGAGCATAAGATATCCATATTTAACAAAATTTAGAAAATAAGCCTTAGTTCGCCAGAGGAATTTGGGTATGAGAGGGTATGAAGGGCAGTTAATTTTATATTTTTGTAATAAACTATAATCCTCTTCCTTCAGGTCACAAGTAGAAAAAGATAACAATTTAAAGAGGTATGACAAATGTGGCAAAAATACTTTAAACATCAGAGACTAGTCTACGCAGTTTCTACTCTACACATTGAGTATGTTTGAGCATTGTGGGGGCAAATGCAAGTGCATATGTGTGTCAACTCCAGAGATTGAAAATGGGTCTAAAAAATTCATTTATGTTTTGAGACCAGGTCTCTCATTGGCTAGTATAGTTTGGCAGGAAGCCCCAGGGATCCATCCCCCTGTCTCTGCCTCCCTGGTGCTGGGATTATAGGAATGTCCTGCTTTTTAGCTAGGTGCTGGGGGTTCCAAACTCAGGTTCTGAAGATGACATGAAATGCACTTTATAGACTGTGTCATCTTCCCAATCCCCTAAAATATTTAATATAATGCAGTATATTCTTGTAAATTAAATAAAATCTCACACAGAAAATGAAAACTGGTGTTAACCATCCAAATCCTAAGAATGCTTATCTCAGAGTATATATGTGTGTGTGGTGGTGGGGGGTCACCAAAAACCTAATTGATCCTTTAAAAACTCAGCTTGGCATTGGTGGCGCATGCCTTTAGTTCCAGAACTTGGGAGGCAGAGGCAGGTGGATTTCTGTGAGTTTGAGGCCAGACTACAAAGAGTGCTCTAGGACAGCCTCCAAAGCCACAGAGAAACCCTGTCTCAAGAAAAAAAAAGAATACCTTTACTAACAAAAATGGAACTTGGACATTTGTATCATAAAAAGGATCATTCAACGAGTATTTTACAAGAAAGCTTTTTTGTTTGTTTGTTTGTTTGAGACAGGGTTTCTCTGTGTAGATTTGGAGCCTGTCTGGAACTTGCTCTGTAGACCACAGTGGTCTCAAACTCAGAGATCCACCTGCCTCTGCCTCCCAAGTGCTGGGATTAAAGGTGTGTGCCACCATTGCCCACCTATGAACGCATTTTTATAAGTTTTATAAAGCAAAATTTAGTTCATGTTTTGAGACAGGATGACAGACTTCTCAATATTATAATATAAACATACCTACCAGACTCATCAGAACGTGTGCACTAAAATCTGACAAAAACTAAGTTGGATTGTTTCAAAGTACTTTAGAATCAAGATTAGAATACCACAATGACTTCCTTGAGGTTAATCATCCCCTTCACCCACCCACTGCCTCTGCCATAAGTTTAAACCACATCATACCCAGAATTTGTCAAACTACTGCACCTACTTAAATGGCCCTGTGCCTGGTTACAGGTTGTACTGGTAACTTAAGAACTTAAAGGATTGTTTGTTTCAAAGACAAATTCAATGTGAATTCTGCCAAGTTCATCCCAGTCTTTTTATGTGTTTGAGACAGGGTCTTCTATGTAACTCCAGCTGTCCTGGAACTAGATATATAGATCAGGCTGCCTCAAGCTTGCGATGATCCTCCTGCCTCTGCTTCTTGAGTGCTGAGATAACAGGTATACACCAACTCACCCTACTCCCAGTCATGTATTCAAAGAATCCAAACAGAACACCAGGAAGTACTTCAAAATAGGAATACTATTTCTGTCAACACACAAAACTGGTTTCTAATCTAAAACTTTTAATTTCTAATTAAAACAGATTTATGTCAGAGGATTTTTATTTTGTGCTTTTGATAATATTTATAGTTATTTTAAGAGTAAAAATCTTGTTTTTGATGACTTCAGTCTCAGCTCTGTAGTCCAGGGTAATCTGAATCTCACAACACAGCCCAAAGTATCTGCACACCTAGGGCACTCTCCCTCAACTTCCCAAATGAAGGGGTTCACAGGTATGGGCCACATAGTCAGTTTATTAAGACCATATTGATACAATTCTTCCCCAAAAGGCAAAAATCAAGTCTTATGTCTCCTATCACCTGAGATATTTGTGTTTGTATTCATGTGGGTGTATGCATGTGTGAAAGCAGGTGCACATATGTGGAGGCCACACCTAACAATTTCTTTCCATTATAGAAGTTGGGACATGTTGATTATTAGTTATAAAACTACATTTTTCTGTTTATCTATTATTCTCACCTCCTCTTGTTCCTGTCTCACCACTAATGTAGTTTAGGCTGGCTTAGAACTCTTGGCAATCTTCATGCCTTTGCCTTCCAAGCACTGGGATTACAAGTATGTTTCACTACACCTGTATTAGTATTATACATGTCTTAACTCACAATCATTTTCTCTTTTGAAACAGTTGCATGAGCTCAGGCTGGCTTTGAACTCATTATGTAGCTGAGGATGACTGACCCCATCCTCCTGCCTTTGCCTCCAAGTGCTGTGATTACAGGGCTTTACTACCATGTTCAACACACATAGTTCATTTCAGAACTCATTTCCACTTGTTTGGACTCATGAACAATGCTATTTTTTAAATACAAAGAGACCTAAACAATCCTAGTTGTGGATGATGAATTGATATTCCAAAGATCATATTAGCTTAGGTTCATTTCCCTTTTTATATCATTTTGATAATATATCTGTGTAACAAGAAATTTTATGTGTAAACCACAAGAATTTTTATGTGACTTCCATTATTATAAATGTGTACATAATAGCGATTTTGCTGAGCATGGTGGCACATACCTATCATCTCAGCACTCAGAAGACTCAAGTTTGACGCCAGCCTTGGCTACATAGTGAGACACTAGCTTAATTCAAATATATTAAAATTTTCCAAAAATATTAAAGTAAATGATATGCTATCCTCTTGAGATAATTTATACTCTCTGGTTATGATTAAACCAATTATAATAATTTATTGACAGACACTGGTAAATGTGAAAACAAGTTAAATACTGTGTTTATCTTACAATTTTTTATCAGTTTACAAATAATACATCTACTGTTTGTTTCCCTTCCAAGGGCTAAAACTAAAAGAAAAATAAATAAGGTAGTGGAGTGTTCATCCCAGGAATATATTATAACCACTCTAGGCAAATGGGTCCTATAACTACCATATCTGTAAGGACATGAATACCATAATTTTTCCTTTTACTAATGTGCATAGTAGAATAATAGGTATGTTCATACTGAAACATACAACAAAAACCTGAAGATGGTTTCATAGCAATTTGAAGTGTCTGAATTCATGTTAGCAGATTATTTAAATGTTAGTAATTTGGCAGTCACCAACAGGAAAATACCACCTGAGTCTCAATATTACTGTTATTGGTAGTAATTAACACTTTTATGTGTTCTATCAATGTTAGTGAATCCACATAACTTAAAATTACAGAAAGACTGAACACATTTCTAGTACCCTTTTAGTATAGGGGAGAAAAAAATGACATGGATCATTGACTAATTATGGAAGAATAAAAAACATTCCACTGGGATCCTAACTACGTAGAAGATTAAGGCAGGGGTAACCTGGGCAACACAGCCAGATCCCATCTCTTAAAAAAATTATTTAAAGCTTGGTGTTTGTGGTGGTGCATTGGTGCATACCTTTAATCCCAGCACTTAGAAGGCAGAGGAAGATAAATTTCTGTTGAGGCCTGAGGCTAGCCTGGTTTACACAGAGTTCCTGGACAGCCAGGGCTGTATAATGAGATGCTGTCTCAAATATCAAACTAAAAATAAGTAAAAACTACTAGAGCTAGGCAGGACAGTGCATGCCTATAATCCCAGCACTCAGAAAACTAAGGCAGGAGGATTCCAAGTTTTGGAAATTTCTCTGGGTCCCACCCCTAGACAAAGTACAGGTAACTAATAACTGCTGGGTGAAGAATGGCTGCTTCCACAAAGAGCCCCTTACCGGATGTTCACTGCCACGTAATAAACCTTGAAACCATTTACACACAAACAAGAATATATGCGTTTAACAATGATAAAGAAAAAGAGGCTATCAACTTGAGAGGGTGAACACTGGAGGGATTTTACGGAGCGTAAATGGGAAGGGCTGGAGGAAGAAAAGGGAAAAAGGGATATAATTCTATTTAAAATTTAATTTTTTTAAACATTTGCCAAATGTAGTGACAAATGATACATCTTTAATCCCAGCACTAGAAGCAAAGGCAGGCAAATCTCTGTGAATTCAACGCCGGCTGCTGATCTGCATAGTTCCAGGACATCCAGGGCTATGTAGAGAGCCTGTCTCATAAAACAAAACAAAAAAAATAAAAGTGAATTTTAAAAAAAAAATGGGTGAAATTTAAAAAACCTTGTAAAGGTATCTGTTACCAACTCTGCACAAAAATAAAAATAAAGAAAATGAAAACTCAGTTCATGACAGTCAGTTATTGTAATAATAAAACATATTAGCTGTTTTTCCCCCTTAATCTAAAAGAGTTTAAAGTAAAAAAATAAGATGGCTGGGCTGGAGAAATGGCTCAGTGGTTAAGTGCACCGACTGCTCTTCCAGAGGTCCTGAGTTCAATTCCCGGCAACCACATGGTGACTCACAACTACCATGAATAAGATCTGGTGCCCTCTGCTGGCATGCAGGCAGAAGACTGTATACATGATAAATAAAATTAATAAAATAAAATGGCTGGGCAGTAGTGGCACACACACACACACACACACACAGAGAGGCAGCACACGCGCACGCACGCACGCACGAGGATCTCTATGAGTTCAAGGCCAGCCTGGTCTACAGAGTGAGTTCCAGGACAGCCAGGGCTACATAAAGAAACCCTGACTTGAAAACAAAATAAACTAGAAACCTCAAAACCTGGGCATGGCAGCGCATTCCTATAGTCCCAACATTTAAAGAGACTCAGCCTGGCCTATATAAAGAAAACCTGCCTCAAACTAAAATAAACCAACCCTCTAATAAAGAAATCCATCCACCCCAAACAACAATAATAAAACTATAAGGCAC